GAAAGAGGGGGGTTTTTTAAGTCTTAATATTTGAATTTTTTTTAATGGAACAAAAGCTATTGTATTTCCATGAAGACACTATACTGAGTAGCATATGTGGAGTTAGACAACTCCCTCTTAGGGATGTAAGGAATCCCTTGTTAGTTTATTATCCATTATTGCAACAGCTTATAAACAGGCTTGAGTATTTTGTAAGTTTTATTGATGTTAGAAAATGATTCATTGAAATGTCACAGAAATAGCCTTATAAAACTGAAATATGTCTCATTGTTATGCCTTACTCCTCCCTTCTTTTCCACCTACCAACCTTCTGCTAGCCCACTACCCCACTTCATATGTATTGTCATGCCGGAACACGACAAAACTCTTACAAAACTTGCAAGATGAAAATTTTAGCACTTAAACTTAGGAAATACAAGAACTGGCATTGGTTTTTATCTGGGTTTTGGTTTGGTGGTTTTTTTTTGTATTGGTTTTGATCTCATGTCATATATAGTAAGATTAGAATTGGTTGAGAAAAAAAATCCAACTTTTTATTCTGACTCAGAATGAAAATGAGTAAATTTGACTTATTTTCATGGGGGGGTGGGGGGGTGGTGGTGAAAAGAAAAGCCAGAAATGTTTGAATAGTTGTGTTCCATTATAAGCAATAAAGCAGAATGGTGCAGCTGGCTTGTCCTCACCTCTTGAGAAGATGCCCCCAAACCTGCTGTAGGGGGGATCAAGAACCGTTGAAGAAATTCCCTTTCAATGTGTTGCTACAGGCAATTTAATTCACATGGAACCACACAGAAAAGATTGAAAAGATAAAATTGTATTGAGCCTGCATGTTATCATCTGATTTGGAACATCTGGGTGTATGGTGTCCCCGGCCACTAAGGCAAAGAAATACCAGCAGAAGCAACAGTTTATGGTTCTGTTTTCTGAGCAGCCCCTAGTGAGAGATCTTCCCAGTGCTGAGGTTCTGGAATTTCAAGTTTAATTTCAGACTCAAGGAAAAAGTATTGTATTTGTAGAAACACTCCTATTGCAGGCTTGGATATTTTTTCTTGCTACCCTTTCCAGATTTTCCTGATGTTCTTCAACCCAGCCCCTGCTTGTGTCTGTCACTCCCACCTCTTCTCCTTCAACCCAACTGCTACTACATTTTTCATCTTACCATCCTAATTCCTGCCCAATT